AAATACAGTACAGAATACAGAAACCAAATACTACATCGCCAATCTGGAATCATTTCCATTCATGTCACCCATCCGCATTTGTACAAGTGTCTTCAAGTTCATGTGATCGCAAACGCTCGGCTGGTCCATTCAGTGTTTAAAAAAAAAAACATGAATTACCATTCTGAAACATCCTGTTGTAAGCGTGTTTGAGGAGGTGGTTGGTTGTCTCCTGCCATCGCCGATTCGGGGTCTGAGTTCGGCTCAAACATGTAAGGAATCTCGAATCATTTCCATTCATGTCACCCAACCGCATTTGTACAAGTGTCTTCAAGTACACGTGATCGCAAACGCTCGGCTGGTCAGGTTTGTATTTACTGCATTCGGTGTTTGAAAACAAAAACATGAATTACCATTCTGAAACATCCTGTTGTAAGTGCATTTGAGGAGGTGGTTGGTTGTCTCCTGTCGTCGCCGATTCGGGGTCTGAGTTCGGCTCAAACATGTAAGGCCGGTGTCCTGACATTTTATCCTACCCATCTGTTTTGCTTCAATCTACAGCAAGCTACAGCATACATGACCCTAGTTACCTGTGGTTGGCCTGGCCGTGCGTCACTCAGAAAACAACAGACCAATCAGAAGAGAGGCTCATGAATATTAATTAGACTGGCCAAAATCGACCTGTTCTTTGCACAGCTCCTGAGAGAGGAGCTTTAAAAATATATTGAGATGGTTTTTGGTACTTATACCGCAAATATATATTCTTAAGGACATCAAGACTTAAAATAAAACTCCAGAAAGGTGTAAAATATGTGACCTTTAAGCATTAATCTAATCAACGCATTAAGTGTCGAAAACGCCGCTGGTGGTGTGATTCGGTACAGCCGGGAATTTTTGCTCCAGTGCAACAAACATGTTGAGCTCACATCGTATCACTGTATACCGGATGACTTGAAATCTTCACAAGGTGAGGCTACTCAGAGTAAAAGGAAACGGAGACGTGGGAAGAGAGGCGGGAGTCGGCAGAGACTTAAAAGGCTGGGAAATAAATTATCCTTGCCCACGACTTTACTGATTAATGCCCAGTCCCTGAGGGGGGAAATGGAAGAACTAACAGCAAATCTATGCTATTTGCATGAATATAGGAATGCGTGTGTGCTGGCAATCACAGAAACGTGGTTAAATGAGAACGTTCCGTCAAGTGAGGTTGAACCAAATGGCTTCACAGTATTTCGAATGGATCGAAACTCTGATATCACAGCATCCCTGAGGGGGAAAATGGAAGAACTAACGGCAAATCTATGCTATTTGCATGAATATAGGAACGCGTGTATGCTGGCAATTACAGAAACATGGTTAAATGAGAACGTTCCTTCAAGTGAGGTTGAACCAACTGGCTTCACAGTTTTTCGAATGGATCGAAACTCTGATATCACAGCAAAGTCACGCGGTGGTGGAGTGTGCCTGCTTATTAAGGAAAACTGGTGCAGATCAGTGGTGGTGAGAGAATCTCTCTGTACTCCTGATATTGAACTATTGAGTGTTTCACTACGACCTTTTTACCTTCCTCGGGAGTTTCCACAGTTGTTTTTTACTGTGGTTTATATACATCCTCAAGCAAACTCAGCTAAAATCTCGGATGTGTTGTATCAACTTGCACAAAGACTGGATTTCTTTGTCTCCAGATGCTCCGAAATTTATTTTAGGATAAGATTTTAATAACTGTTCTTTAAAAAACTGTTTGAGGACTTATTATCAGTATGTGAACATTTGCACTAGGAAAAATAAGATACTGGACAAGTGTTACGGCAACGTTAAAGATGCTTTTTCCACCTCCACACTGCCACCACTTGGAGGATCTGATCATAACGTTGTTAATCTTCGACCTAAATATCAAAGACTTTTGAAAGGGAGAAACCTGAGGTAAAGACTGTTAAGATTTGGAATGAAGAGAGTATTATGTGCCTTCAGGGTTGTTTTGAGTGTACTTTGTGAGAAACTTTTGACTGTCTAGATCTGGATACTCATACAATTGTAGTTTCAGATTATATCAATTTTTGTGTGAAGTCAGTTATACCCACAAAAACGTATAAAATATTTCCTGTGTGCTGAGCTTCAAAACGCCTAGTGTGAGTACACCCTTAATGAACAAACACAGGGGAAAATCCACAATAGGAATGAGGAATGACACATGAACATAACTTGTAGACCCGACAAACACTAACTGAACGGACTGGGGCTTATAAACACAGGATAGCGAGGGACTAATCGAGGGGACTAAGGAGACACACCTGGAATCAAATTAACACAATCAACATGAGGGAGAAACTGGGTCACGGGGAGCAAAAACACACAAACAGTCAAGAATCCTGACATTACGCCCCCTCCTGGAAGGCGCGTCCTCGCTCCGTAGAACCAACATTGGGAGGAGCGGGTGGGAACAAGAAGGAGGCTCCGGAGGAGGACGGACAACCGGGAGGGGACCGGTAGACAGAGTCCAGGGGGGTAATGCAGGAGGAAGGAGCCAAGGAGGAGACAAGAGGGGCTTGGAGCCGGCGGTGCCAGGTGGGACCCAGGCCACAGCCATAATGTTGATCCGCAGTGGAGCCAACGGAGGGAGGAGCCGTGATGGAGGAAGGGCTGACGAGGGAGCCCGGCGGAGCCAGTGGACAGATCGGCCACGGCGGAGAGGAGGGAGCTAGGAGCCATGGTGGAGCCAACGTTGTAGCTAACAGTGAGTTCAGCGCAGCGTCGTCGTACGCTGTTAAAACGGCGAGCTGGCTGAACTCAACCGCATACTCCAAGAGGGAGAGGTCCTTGCGGGCTAGGGCGGTGAACTTGATGGCGAGGGAATCCATGGAACAATGGAAACAAAAAACACTGGGTAAAAAAACAGAAAACAAAAACGGAGGGTAGACACGGAGTTAACTGTTTTGGTCGGGTCTTCTGTCCGGTGGGCTCGGGCTCCACGCAGCGGGGAGATGGTGGGCTGGGCACTGGGTCTGGCCGTGTTCCGGATCGGCAATAAATGCTCTCCAGACACCGGATAATTGCTTCCCTCCAGCATAGTCCATTATAAACACAGGATAACGAGGGACTAATCGAGGGGACTAAGGAGACACACCTGGAATCAAATTAACACAATCAACAAGAGGGAGAAACTGGGTCACGGGGAGCAAAACACACACAAACAGTCAAGAATCCTGACAGTATTGTCCTACTGTGAAATTTATGTTGTATTGTCTTTTGTGAGAAACGCATGTTGAAACAAGACACTGAAACAAAATCCCCCCAAGGGCATAAATAAAGTTACTAACTACTAACTAAACTTATACATTTATACTTTATTGGGTGGCCCAGTGTCACCCTGGCCCTTACGTGGCCTCACTACTAATTAGAAGAGGGTATCATTATGACAGATCAGTACCCTAGATCCTGAAACTACACAGGCTAATTGCGAAAATGACACAGCTGGATGCAGTATGTATTTTATATCTGTTGACTCAAAGTTCATGATAGTAGTGTGATGAGACTGTAGGACTCTTATCAACGTATAATATAATGACGCCATTATAAAATTAATTTAATTCAACTCAAATAGAGCTGTGGCAGTGCTTCGCTTTTTAAAACACATTTTTAGTTTTTATAATTAGAAATATATTTTGAAATTTAACCCTTATGTCCTCTACTTATTCTAAAATGCTGTCCTTATTTTGGTGCTATACTTTCATGTTGCTTGTGTCACATCGCAGTCTTATTACTTTCTTTTGTTTCATAAATGAATTTCATATTTTTGTAAAACTGTACATGTTTTTTGTAAGGTAATGGTAAAAACTGAAAGTATGTGTACATTTGTCACATGTATGATCTATTTTGGTTTAGTTTTAGTCAGTGTCGGATTAATGCATGGGCCTACCGGACACAAGCACAAGGCACTAGACCCCAGAACGTGATTTCCATTAAGGGGGAACAGACCCCATAATAAAGCCATGGTTCTAGTGTGTTTTTAGTTCCTTGTTCCTGTGTTTAGTTTGACATAGTTTCCTTTGTTCCCATTTTCCCACCACTCATTTGTTTGTATGGTTACAGATTATGTTCTGTTGCACCTCTTCATTGTTCCCTGTGTATTTAAGCCCTGAGTTCATTTCTGTTCATTGTTTGGTATTGTCTTGAGTTAATGTAAGCTGTTATGCTGCTCTTTATTGCTCTTGTGCTTTCTGGATTGTTGTGTTTATTTTGATTAAAAGGTTGCCACAAGGATCTTCATTTTCTCTTCCTTGAAGACCTGAAAATGACAACATTATGTGTAGGCTAAAATATATTTTAGGTTGTGTGTCAAGTTAAGTCAAGTCACCTTTATTTATATAGAACTACAGAGATACAATACAGATTTTGTCAAAGCAGCTTTACAGTGGTAAACAGGAAATGGTGTGGCAATAATGAAAACAAAATTCAATTCTGCTATAAATCAGCTCTAAAAAGAGGACAATAGTAAGTACATTTTTCAGTTAAAGGCAGTTCATCATTAATTCAGTGATGTCATTGTCCAGCTCAGTTCAGTTCTCTTTCAAAAGTCTTTAACTAATCTTTAACATCTTTAACATAATCACTCCATAATCTCAAACTTTGTGTCAACAGAAATATCTATAAATCAATATAGAGTAATAAAAGTTGCTTAGTATTCAGCTGTGTCTTTTCCACGATTATGCTGCTCTATTGAGGTTTCCATCAAAGGCACCAGGATATTAATGTGTAATAAGGAAATCCTCCTTGTGTTTTTGAGTGTATAAATGATGGTTGAAAAAAAATTGATCAGAAGAGAAAGATGGAAGCTCTGACTCTCCTTTTCTGTCTGCTTCTAACTGCCTTTCAAGGTAAGATTATTATTCACTGAAGATTGTATATGGTACTGATTGTCCAATATATGAAAAACAGCTGCTAGCTTGAGCATCATATGTGCATAAATTAAACATTTATTGTACATACTGTACAGAAAGACAAGCATTATGTTATATTAAATGTTATGTCTTTATTTCATATTACAGCAAAAACCATTGGGTCATGGACAACAGGTAAATATAATTTAACATTATATAGTGTAAAACATGGCTGTTTTAATTACATTTACATTTAGTCATTTAGCAGACACTTTTATCCAAAGCGACTTACAAATGATGCATACTTTTATATAATGTCGAAACATCAGTTTATCAGTTACATCAAAGTATATGATGGTCCTTCTACCCTCCACCCATTTCTGGGAGAAATAAAGGAGTACAGGAACCAGTCTTTCAAATCCAGCAACAATGATCTGACTGTGTTTTTCTACAGTGATCACAGTATAACACGTAAAGGATTTCATGCAACCTGGCTCTTTGTAGGTATGTGTTTGAAAGAGATATACAGAACTGTGATATTATGAATTTCAAACTCTCCCACTGTGCTATGCCAAATTATCTAGTCGTTCTCTCATAATTTCAGTTGTGACTGGCTTTTTATTCTGTTTTCCATCTTCCATCTCTATCTGCAGAATCATGTGGTGGCTATATGACAGACTGGATGGGTGACTTGTCCAGTCCTCGGTACCCTAATAACTACCCTGATAACTCATATTGCAGATGGACCATTCATAGCACAGGGAACATGACAGTGTCACTGACCTTCACTGATGTTGCGTAGGGCACTATTTGAATTTTCTAATTTTGTAACTGAGACTCTCTAGTGAAACTTTCAGATTTCCCTTTTCCAAGACATCATTGCTACATAATATTAATGTGGATAATATAGTTTCTCTCTGCTCTGTGCTTAATAGTTTGGAAACATGCTGTGATTACATCAAAGTATATGATGGTCCTTCTACCCTCAACCCCTTACTGGGAGAAATACAGGAGTACAGGAACCAGTCTTTCAAATCCAGCAACAATGATCTGACTGTGCTTTTCTACAGTGGCAGTAGTGTAACACGTAGAGGATTTCACGCAAACTGGGTCTTTGTAGGTATGTGATTAAAAGCATGAACAGAACTTTATCTATGATACTATGAATTTCAATCTTTCCTAGTTTGCTATGGCAACTTGCTATTCATTCTTTGTAAATTATGGTTGGGAAACAAGATATTCAGAGTTCCTTTTCTAAAAATGCCGTATTCTTCCACCAATAAGGATTGAACTAAAATACTGTACATTGTCAGTTTCCTGCACTATTATTCAGTGGTGATGTAATATCACAGCTGAATCTGCAGCAGGAAACGTACAGTGACCAGTGTAAACTATTCCCACATAAATCACTTTTATGAGCTGGGTTTTTGAGTCAAAAGTGTAAAAAATGCATTTTAATTGTATAATAATTTACTAATTGGATACTCTTATGAAAACATGTAAAGAAACATTAAAGGGGTCATATGATGCGATTTCAATTTTTCCTTTCTCTTTGGAGTGTTACAAGCTCTTGGTGCATAAAGAAGATCTGTAAAGTTGCAAAGACTAAAGTCTCAAATCCAAAGAGATATTCTTTATAAAAGTTAAGAGTCAACCACTCCTACCTAAAATGGCTCGTTCTAACACGCCCCCACAAAGCTACGTCACCGATGTGGGAAGATTTGCATAACGCCGCCCAAATGTTGCAGTATAAAGATAGCCACTGAGGCAAGTGTTCGTGAGAGATTCTTTAGCTTTAGTGGTCTGAGGGAAGAAGCTGCTCTTGTGCCTCAATTCTCTGTAGCTTCTGTAAAGCTCAAAGATGTTGTGGTTGGGTGTGTGAAGTCTGTAATATTTTTTTTCTGCAAAGCAAGGACTGTGGTTAAGGGGACCTCAGCAATCCTCTCAGTTTCGTTGTGAAAGCGAAACTACTTTGTTTGGCCTTCCAAAAGAGAACACAACTAGAAATCAGTGGTTAAGTTGTATTTACAGCACTGTTCCAGAACAGTTCAACCCAAATATTCAGATGTGTGCTGCGCATATTATGGAGGATGAGGACTGTTTCCTGAACCAGTAGACTACAATGCGTCTGTGGCACAAAGGCTTTCTATAAAGTTGGGCAGCTCCAACTTTGCAAGGACAGTCTGGCGCTTCTGACTCACAGCCTGTAAGTACGTTTTTATATTTAAATAATTTGCCACTGATGATTCAAACGCGAGTTTTGAGCAGTGTAGAGTAAGCTTGTTGTTTGTGAAAACAATGAGCTTTGTAAAAATCGACGCGTTTCAGAAAGGCGGGGCATAGAGGAGAAACAATAATGTACATTATATGGAAAATAATGTGTTTTTTGAACCTTAAACCGCATAAACACATTTCATTACACCAAATACACAAAATAATGTTCTTTTTAGCAACGTCATATGACCCCTTTAATTTTGTCAGTATGTATAATAAAAAATAACTCAAAAGTATGTTTAAAAATGTTTACACCTTTTACTATTTATTCTATAAAAGGTTTATTAAATATAAAATATCAACTGGACAAATTAACAAATATGGTTATCCAAACACATGTGCAAGGCATCTTTTTTGTGAGCACATGTAAGTGCTAGAATATTAAATTTTCACCATTGATCAATAGCATCCATTGTGTAAAATTGGAAAATTGTGGCCTTTTTCTCCACTTTTCCCACATGTCTGGACACTATTCTTGTTATCTCATGCATTTTGGGGCATTGTGATCTCCAGTTTCTCACCCCGAGTGTGGAGGACACCTGTATGGTTCTGGGCTGTTTTCCAGTCCAAACTACCCCAGCTATTACCATGACAATGCCTACTGTGTGTGGCATCTCTCTGCTCAGCAAGGACAGAGGATCTTCCTGACATTTGCTGATGTGCAGTAAGTGAGAGATCAGTGGTGACTGGTGCAATGCTGGTGGAATAATATTTGCTATTTGCTAAGCTGATGAAAACATCACATTTATATACACTATAATTTATCATTTAATCTAATACCATAGTTTATTTAATATATAATTTAATGTAATTAATACAATTATTACTAAAAATATTTTTTTGTATTTGTCCGAGTAGTGTGATTATTGAGGGATTCTTTTACAGTTTATTTATGCAGTACCATTAAAAACCAATTCCAAATGGCTCATTGAATTCTAGAGTGGCTTAAAAAGTTAATCTTTTCTGAATCAGGTACCATTCTGCCTGTTTCTTTCAGATTGGAGCGCTGCTGTAACTGTGACTACATCACAGTATACGACGGCTCTTCCACTGGTCATCCACAGCTGGGAAAGGTCTGCTTCAATGACACCACACCCCAGGTGTTTCACTCTTCTTCACGATACTTGACTGTTGTCTTCAGGAGCGACTACTCTGGTGTCAGCCATGGTTTCAAGGCCCTTTTCACAAGCTCTCTGACTGCAGATGAAGGTAATTCCTTGTGAAATCATTAAAAAATATAATCACTTTCAGACAGACAGCATCTCTTTGGTTTTGAGACTTTAGTGTTTGCAACTTTACAGATCTTCTTTATGCACCAAGAGCTTGTAACACTCCAAAGAGAAAGGAAAAATTTAAATCGCAACATATGACCCCTTTAAAACCTTCAACACCTTTGTTTTCTAAATTTAAATAAATACTTTAAATGCACAAAATTACATTGAGGGAATGAAATTCTTTGCTCTGCAGGTCATGTGGATTGTTCCTCAGACAAAATGGTCATTGACATTCAGAGGTCTTACCTGAACTCACTCGGGTTGAGTGGAAATTACCTTTATGTAGATGACCATCTTTGCAGACCCAACATTAGCAGTACTGAGGTTGTGTTCAGCTTCCCACTTGACGCATGTGGGACCGCCAAAGATGTATGACCTACATGTGTACCAGATCCTGCATGGCTCTAGTGCTGATTTTAGGGGTGGCATCTCTTCTTTTGCCAAAATTGAAAATTACCATGTTTTGACACAACATCGCTCACTCTCTCTCTCTTTTCTAGATGATGAATGGTTATGTGTCCTACACCAACAATGTGCGGGCCTCTCAGTCTCAGTCGGGTGAAATCACTCGTCAGTCACAGTTCCTGCTACACGTGGGCTGCCGAATGGAGCCGGACACCATGGTGCAGATATTCTACAAGGCCAGGGAGAACGTCAATGCCAACATCACAGGAACGGGCCGCTTTAGTGCCAGCATAGCCTTCTACACCTCCAGCAGTTTCCACCAGGAAATTTACGACTCTCCATATGAGGTGAACTTGAATCAGCTTCTGTATGTTCAGGTCGAGCTAAACAGGCCTGACAACAGTCTGGATCTCTTCCTGGACACTTGTGTAGCGTCTCCAAATCCCAGTGACTTCAAAGATCGCTCCTATGACCTGCTCCGTAACGGGTGAGACCTTTTCATTCTTAAATGTGACTCCAACATCATATCATATGTGACAGTAGAATAATTTGGGATGAGTAGATAGCATTAGTGTTGCTCCCTGTCTAAATATGTTCTTGTACTCATTTGAACTAATAGTGAAATAAACTCAGTGTCTGAGTTTGACTGTAGTCCAAACTGTATCCAAATTGTACTTCTCTTCTTTTGTCTTTTGTAGATGTCCCAGAGACAACACATATTATTCCTACACCAGTGGTGAACATTACTATGCTCAGTTCAGTTTCCGAGCTTTCAAGTTCCTCCGGACTCATGCCTATGTGTTCCTGCAGTGTAAGGTGATCATCTGCCCCGATAACGATTACAACTCTCGCTGCCGGCAAGGCTGCCGCTTCCGTCGCAAGAGATCCCTTCACAGCACCTACCACACCAATACTGTGACGCTGGGGCCAATCAAACTCAAAGGTCAGAGGCCATTAACAGGTATAATTTCTAATGAATTGTATTAATATGAAGGCTTTTCTAATAACTGTCCATTCACTGTCATTCCAGGCATTGTGTGAAGGAGTCTGAAATGTCAAAGGAATGAAGTGATCATCTCAATCATAACCTTATTCATTACTATTGATCAATCTTTATTAACCAACCAGCAAATTAATCTAAATACAAATTATATTTTTGCAATTCAATAATCTAAAAAGCTGTTCTGGTCACTGGTATCTTCAATGGTTTATTAGGGCCCGAGCACCGATGGTGTGAGGACCCTATTTGGAATAGCTCCGTTTCTTATTATTATTCTTCTGCTTCTTCTCCAAAGTGAATCGTATTTTTGGGGGCCTAAACATGCTCGAAAACTCATGAAACTTTGTACACTAATCAGAACTGGTGAACATTTACATCTGATATGGTTTTCAGAATTGGGCGTGGCAAAATGGCTCGATAGCGCCACCTATAAAATTTCAACGAAGTGCCCTTCGAGCTACGTTTCATGTACGTGTACGAAACTCGGTACACACCTGTAACACACCAATACCTACAAAAAAGTCTCCTGGTTCAAAATCCGAAACCCAACAGGAAGTCCATTATTTCGAATTTCCTGTATGATTTTTGTGCAGTTTTTGCCATTTTCAGGCCTCGTACTTTAACTCCTCCTCCTACATTTTTAATCGGATCATCTTCAAATTTGCTGAGTGTAATTATAAGGCCTTTGCGATGCTAAATTTTGAAGATCTTGAGTTTTCGTCAAAGGGCGTGTCCCTGACGGCCTGACAAAGTTTGATGTTTCGCCAAGTAAGTGACATGTTTAACACCATAATGGACTTCTAGAAATATACTACAAAGTTCCAGCAAGTGTTAAATAGGCTAGCAAGTTAGCAACATGCTACAAACATGGTAAAGCATGCTAGCAACACTTAGCTAATTTGCTAAAGCATGCTATTAATGCAGTGAAACAGGAAGTTGATGTAACTCAGGCATGCAGTGTCCAATCTGCTCGAAACTTAACATGTTTGATGAGAGTACATGCAAAGATTCAGTTTTAGTCATAGTGCCACCTACTGTCAACAGGAAGTGACATGTTTAACACTGTGATGCACTATTAGCAACACAGTAAAATATGCCATTTTGTGCTAAACATATTAGAAACATGTTCAAACATGCTAGCAACACTTAGCTAAGTGCTGAAGCATGCTATTAACACCATCAAACCGTCCTTTGAATTGGGACACAGCTAATGCCCGATCTGCCCCACACTTCACATGTTTGATAAGAGTCCTGGCCTGAACTCATCTTAAGGCCAATGTTCATTTATAGTCATAGCACCACCTGCTGGCAACAGGAATTTACTTGTTTTACACTAACTTAAACATGCAATGTCCGATTTGCCCCAAACTTCATATGTTTGGTAAGACTCCTGACCTAAAGACATCTACATGCCAATATGCAGTTATAATCTTAGCGCCACCTGTTGGCAGCAGGAAATTTGGAACAAATACTTTTAACCACTTTAAAAAAAAGCATATTGCCCAACGTTCGCTGGATCCGCTGGATGATTTTCATTTTTGGGTGAACTATCCCTTTAACTACAGTGTAATCCACTGAACACACTGTACTTCCTCACAGTCTCATTTTCATTCCTGCCAAATATTCAATAAGGCACTACCCAAATGGTAATATTATTACTACTAGGCCTATTATTATTTATCTAACATACTATTTATTATATATTTGTATAATTACATTTACTAAAACTGTCTAAACGAATCAATTCACCAGGATGAATTACACTTTCCAAAGCTACATATGACAGAGGGTTCTATTTACAGTAGGATGAACTGATGCACTATATAGAATGAGTAAAAATTTCCAAACATATGAGACAAGGATGATCGAACTGATTCCCTAAAATAAATCGGACTTGCTAGAGCTACAAGAGAGGCAAAAGTGAGCGTGCAGGTGCCTCTGCTTGCTCGGCAGTGAAGTAACATATATGTGATATTAAAAGCAGCGATTGTTGTCTTACACTGCTAATCATTGCGAGCAGTAGTTTGTTAATAAAAAATCTGTTTTGAAAGCAACTGAGCTACCCTCAAAGCTATATGTTGTTAGAGTGTCACCGTCACTTGTTTGCTTTATTTTTCTTGTATGCCACATGCTGCATCTTGCAGAAACTGTCTACCCACAAATCTGAAGACTGTTGTTGTTAACGTGGAAGAAACAGTCACTTTAAAAGAGACAAAACCACAAGATGTGAACAAATTATCAGTGTGGATAAGCGACGGTGACGCATGCTGTACAAATCAAGTACAATTTGTTCTGCGCTTTTGCATTTTGTTTTGTTTCCTCCTCAACATTTCTGTTGTGTCTGTCTTAGGAAACATTTTATACAGTTCATTCACTTTGCATTAAAATAATATTAAAAATGCTTAAACAAGAAACTTCTCTCCTGTTTTTATTTTTCCAATGTTCTACTTTTTATCACTTACAATTTAAATACTTCGACTTTTAATAGAGCAAAACTTTTAATCAGTATCCATACTTTCATTGAAGAATGCTTTTTGAGTACTTTTACAACCCAGTGAATGACTTCAGGTCTATCAGACCTCAGTGCAGTGCAGTGAAAAGTTGAATTGGGCAATGGCCCTGACGCTGTTGTTTTTCAAGAATTTGAGAATTTGCTGCCTGTGAAAAAAATATTCTTACTTTGAAAGATTTTAACAATTAAAAGAATACAGAGAATGACAGTTAGAGCACAATATCCTTATGACAGATCAATATCCTGGAGCCTGAAACTACATAATTGTGGAAACGACACAGCTGGATGCAGTATTTTATATCTGTTTACACAAAGTTTGTGAGTGGTGTGGTCAGAGATATGCAGTACAGATCATGTTAATGACGCAATTGTATTTTATTTAGTGCAAATAATGCTGTGGCAGTTCTACTTTGCTTGAAAACACTTTTTTTTTCTTCAGGTAACTTAAACTGGTGCTACTTTCATGTCTCTTGTGTCACACCCCAGATTTGCTCTCTTTTGTTTGATATATTCAATTTTATATTTCTGTAAAACTGTAAATGTTTTTGTTATGTAATGGTGATAACTTTGCCAATGAGTATGTGTATAATATGGATTAATTAACATGATCACTCCATAATCACAAACTTTGTGTAAACAGACATATTCATAAATTAAGACAGAGCCAAGCGTAATAATAAAAGTTGCATAATATTCAGCTGTGTCTTTTCCACGATTATGGTGCTCTGTTGATATTTTTCCATCAGAGGCTCCAGGATATTGATGTGTCATACAGAAATGTTTGTTCACTACTCACTGCTGTGTGTGTGCACTTGGATGGGTTAAATGCAGAGCACAAATTCCGAGTATGGAACACTATACTTGGTCACACGTCCTTTCCTTTCCTTTCCTTTCTTAGGATGGTTTTGACTATATAATCTATCTATCTATCTATCTATCTATCTATCTATCTTGTTTTTTGTCAAATGTTATTCTTATGCATTCAAGTTGTTGTAATGATTTTTGAAATTCTCTGTTTTCTATCTCTATGTGAAGCATCATGTGGATGGGTGAATTTTTCAGCCCTCAGTACCCTAGTAACTACCCTGATAACTCACGGTGGACCATTCGTAGCACAGGGGCGACAACAGTGTTATTAAGCTTCACTGATGTTTTGTAGGAAACATTTATTATCTACCATTATCTCTATCTTTTGTGTCTCTAAATCTTTAGCAAAGTAATTTATTAATGTAATTGAATTTCTTAATTAAAAAAAAAGATTAAACTTCATCTTAAGGAAAAATAATGTTGTATTATTTTGTAAAGTATTTTGTGAACACGTATGTTTTTAAATATTCTGTAACAAAACATGAATTTGTTTCTCTCTATTTTTCCCTCTCTCGCTCGGTCTTCTCTTTTTTGCTAGTTTGGAAGAATGCTGTGATTACATCAGAGTATATGATGGTCCTACTACACTCTACCCCTTACTGGGAGAAATACAGGAGTACACAAACAAACAGTACAGCTCCAGCAACAATGATCTGATTGTGCTTTTCTATAGCGATAGCAGTGTATCAAGAAGAGGATTTCATGCAAACTGGTTCTTTGTAGGTAAGCAATTAAATGAAATGATTAGAATGAATTTAATTTCTTAAAATAATTCTGGATTGAATGTTCAATCCTGGCAATGCTTTTTGCACATGCATTCAGTGACCATTTCAGTTCATTTCCCTAGTGTATGACTCTTATGAGCCCATTCTTTTTTTAGAGAATCAAAGACACACGGCTTAACCAGTGTAATCAGATTCCCAAATCAACCACTTTTATGACCCGCCTCTTTTAATTGAATCAAAAATATTCAGTACAACCCAGGTAGTCTGATTCCTAAACGAATTATTTTTGTGAGACACTTCTTTTTTGTGAATCAAAAATACACAGCACAGCCTGTGTAGGCAGATTCCCAAATGCAAGACTCCAGTGAAACACTTCTTTTATTGTATCAGAAACACACCTTATCTTTTATTTAAGGCATAAAACAGTGTAGTTACTGACTAGTTTATATACAACAATGTTTCAGTGTTGGGTAAGTTACTCTAAAAAAAGTTATTAATTACTAGCTATTAATTACATCTTCAACAGTGTAAAAAGATTATTGTTATTAATTACTCTCTCTAAAAAGTATTGTATTACTTATTACTTTCTAAATCCCATATCAACCTCGACCAGTTGAACAATATAAGGATAGACATGAAACTACTCTTTTAATTCTTTCAAATAAATAATGTAAAATTGCATAAATTATTCTTGAATTGACCGAAGCATTTAAAGGGAGGTAACATTATAAGCATACATTTTAACATTAGATGATAAATTTCTATATTTAATGCACTATTGTTTTATATAGAATTACAGAAGTAACTGTAATTAGAGAAAAATTAAGAGTAATCCCTTACATTACTTTTTCACTGGAAATTAATTACAGTAATGAATTACTTAGTAATGCATTACACCCAACACTGCAATGTTTAAAGATACACATGAATATTGTCAGTAGTATTTTTAAAAGTTTTTGTAAAGCCACCTTTTGCGAGAATTTTTTTAATGCATTTTTCAATGTTAACTCGTCACTTG